ACTGCCGGATTTCATTAAGAATAATTAAATATACCTCAGGGACATTCCTGATTTACTCTTCTATATCCCAGGGAGACAGCCTACACTAAGAAGGACGATGAAATCTGTCAGTCACTGTAGGGTAAAAGGATGTATTTTCTTTGAATGTTACAGCCCACATTCTGAAAAAGTTTTTAAGACTCTCTTCCTCCAAATTAAGTTAAAAAAACAAACAAACCCACAAATGAATGGTTTTGCAACCATGTGCAACCAGCTCAAGCAACATTTGTAGTATATTCAGCTCAGCTGTTTTAAAAATATCCTCCCCATCCAGCAACAATGCCAAATACAAATCTTGCTACATTCCATATGCAAGCCCCAAGGAAACATATTCTTGGATGACACTCTCAGCTTTATTTGTATTGTAATTGCATTTACAAACCCAGGCCAAAACTCAGTTGTTCTAGCTTCCAGAAGCTATCAGTAATGATGTTGGATTTAGTAATTGTGCCAATCCATTTTCCCACCTAAACAGCAAGGGTTAACAAATCTGAGTAGGGTTTTTATGAGTATGTAGGTGATTGAAAATCAATGGGACTTGTTCTCTTAAGTCACTTCAGACCAGATATTAATGGTATTTGTGCGTCTGGTAATGGTATTTATGTGTCTGGAGATCAAGAAAGACACCTGATGGGACTTTCACAACACCTACCCCCCATTGAAATCTCATCCTCTTACCTTGCTTATATGGGCTATTAGATAGTTCAATTAACAAGCGATTTAAGTGCTTTGTATAGTGTTTCATGATACTTAGGAGAGATGCATGTACCCTGAAAGCATTTTTAATGAGGCCTCCTGAATGCTAAGTCGAGGACTTAGTCGCTGACATTCTTAATTTATCAGAAAGTGAAAATTTTGATTTCTCCCTGCAGGTAGCAATAATCTCTATGAACAAACTTCACAGAGATGCTCCCATGCAAGGAGGAAAGAGTTCTGAAAGTAAGCAAAGAAAAAGTCAGCCTAGGAGTAATGTGGCATAACATCACTGTAATTGGGTATGAGGGATGAAGGATGAATTCAGGGAGGGCAAAAAGGTGACTTTGTTCCAGCTTCCCTGATTCTTGCTTTTTTGTTAATGAACTCAAGAATAAATACATATAGTTTTACCAAAGCACAGTTTTGCCGAACTGTTAATGAACATGATAAACTCGATTCTCTATGTATACTGTGAAACTGACGTACTCTAAACAAAAAGCTGATCACAGTTACAACTTTCTACAGCTATCAAGACTGAGCAGTAGTGAGGTAGCAGTATTATATTACAGCTTTCTTGTATTCTCCTGTACTATATGAATTCTCTTGAGCATTTCACGTGTATTCATTTAGAAATAGCACTGAATATAGAACTTGGTAATAGGTGGATCTGTTCTAATATTTTGAAACAAACATTTGCCCCCACCCCTCAATATGCTACAGCCAAAAACCTCATCTGAGAGTTTGCATTGTTCTTTAAAAGCAATATTATTATTTTTTAAACAGACTTGTAATTAATTATCTATTAAGTCTGTATACTGTACCTCTCCAACTTACTTCATTCTGGAACCTTCATTCCATATATAGTATATATACTGCAAGTTTTTCTAAATGGCCTTAAGGTGCAAAGAATAGAACAGCACAGTTTTTTCCTAAGTCCTGAAAGCACTAAAATTTGTACTAAAAGACCTATTTAATCTTAATTTCAGTAAGACCTTGGACACTAAGGAAAAGGCTTGCTATGAACTGCAAAACAAGCTTACCATTTCTCTGGACATCTTGATGACAGAGCAGGTTAGAGAGTAGACTGGCAAGTACATAATTTAAATATTAATTTTAAGTACAGTAGCCTCAAATAGCAGCACTTGATCAGCTATGCTTAGAGTTTTAGATTGCAAGCTTTTTGAAAGAAATTGTTTCTTCGCACTTGTCTAGTAAAACATTGGTTTTATTTATAAAATATTAAAATTAATAAAAAGCCAAAAGGACTGTGAAGCTCGTTTCAGGAAAAAAGCTGATTTTCTTCATGACAAAGTTAAGCTGTTGCAGAGATGCTTGAAACTCTGTTGCCATCTGCTGTCTCAAATAGAAATCTGAAGCAATTCTGTTTGGCTATTTTATTAAAAATGCTGTAAGCATCAAACGAGATCCTTTTCTGTGAAAATAAGCATAGAAAGGAATGAAAAAGTACATTTTAAAATCAAGAGGGATAATTCAGGGCCAACTCCTTCTTTCGCTTGGCCATGAATGGTCCATAAAGAAAGATGAGTAAATGAGAAGGAAATTACCAGTGAAGATTGCCTAGCTACTGCCTTGCCCATCATCAAATACATTCTCTTGCAGCTCTTTCCACATAGCGATGAGATACATAGGGTTGCGATGAAATCACAGATACCAGATTCTTGACAGTGAGTAGCCACCATCTGAAGCCACTTATTACAGATACAATGTGTATACTGGAAAGATACTGTGAATACTGCAGGTTAACTTGGAAGAAGGAAGCACTTCAGTCTTCTGTATCTCCTTTAGCCAAGAGGTGATTGTCTATAGAAAACTAGGATGTAGCCTCTCTACAGTAATATTTCAATGAATTAAGCTCTGGGAGAAGTAGGATGATGAAAAAAGTGGAATAAGGTTCAGTTTTATTTAACAATTTATTTTTAGTGTTATGAGGGAAGAGAATATAAATTAATTGGTATATAAACATTGGTAAATTAATTAGAAGGATTGTAAATACCAACAGAGACCAAAAAAAGATTAAAAGATTTACACAGGTTAGAAACATGGATCCTAACTAACCCAAGTAGCTGGGAAAAAAAAAAAAAAAAAAAGCCCTGAGACACTAGTACTTCATTGAATAAAAGAAGGAAGTTAATTAAAAAGGTATAGCTTAGAGCAGTATTTCTGGGACATGGTTAGTAATAAAAGAAAACAAAAAACTGCTTTGTGGAGCACTACAAGCATTGCTGTTACTGGACTATACACAAGGAGACACGTGGTCCTTGTTCAAAATATTTTACAGCCCATACTAAGCAGACAGTGCACTTCTTGATGCATGAGAACCCAATCTGACTGTTGTTTTGGGAAAAGCGTCGTACAATGGACTTTAATAAGAAGCATGCGTTCTTTGGTTTTGTTGAATTTTTATTGAATGTTCATTCGTGTCTGGTGACTGAAATGTGTTAATTTTATGGGAGGACCTCTGAAGCAATTCAGATAGCATCATACAAAGCAGATTTTGTGTATGGATTAAATTCAGCCTGTTCTATTATCGCTTATTTGTTTTGTTTGTACTCTCACAAGGTCAAAACTCCTCCTATCGTCACCTGGAGTAAGCAGTACAGGATCTGCCCCTATATATGATATATTTAGCCAGAGAAAATTAAGTACTTGCCAATTCTAGACGCAACACCATTCAAGACAGTTCCTAAGGTCTTAACTTCCTTTGAAATCAAGGATTTCAGTAAGCATTTAGTTTTAAGCATAAGCTTAAATGCCATCTTGAATAGAAAAAGATCTATGCAGGCACTGAAGCATTTCCTTGAATTTGACTATATTAACACAAACAAATCCTTATTACTCAAGTTGAAGTCACTCTTCCTGAAAATGAGGCAAGAGCGTTACAGTGTGGATTAATTGAATTTGCATGTATACGCATCCTGTTATTCAAGGAGCTATAACTACAAGACAAGATTAGATGGTGCTTAACGTTCAGCACCAAAAACGTTTCTCAAGAACAGCCCAGATGGAAACACGAGCAGCCGCCGAGAGCACAGTTTGGGAGACGCCACCAAACGCGCCGATGATTCCCAAGCGCGGCATCACGACGTTCACTAGGGCTGCCGTGCAGAAACAGCGTTAAGCAGTCCAAAGCAAGCCCAGAAGAGCCTATCGAATTAAACTACTCCTTAAAGACAGTAAAAGTTAAAGAAGAACAACGCCCTACAAGAAAGCCGGCCCTCATCCGGCCGCCCCCGTGACAGGGCACCAACCGCCCGGGGGCCGAGGGCTCCTCACGGCTCCGGCGGGCCTCGCCGGCAGACAGGAGAGTTACTGCCCGCCGTGCGCCCTCCCCACCCTATCTGCTTCCCCTCGGCTTTTCTTTCTCGAAACCATACCAAAAAAAAAGAAAAAAAAAAGAGAGAGACAGAGAGAGAGAGAGACAGAGAGAGAGAGAGACAGAGAGAGAGAGAGACAGAGAGAGAGAGAGACAGAGAGAGAGAGAGACAGAACCA